AAAATGCGGGAACTAAAAGATTTTTTTTTTTTTTTTGGTATGTGGTTGTTGGAGAGGAGTGGAGGGGTCAATTTAAGGACACTGGAATTATTTTGATGCCAGAAGGTAAGAGAGAGGACATCAGCAAGAATTTCCCAGAAAACATTTTTAACATGAAAACATCTTAACAAGACCATTTGAACTCTTTAGGAAAAAGGCAAGTGAGGAGTAGTAGCAATGAAGACTGTTCTCAGATATCCCAATTTTCCTGCTCTTCCTGGAACATGGTAGGATTACACTTCTTGCTCACTTTTTGGACATGTGGCCAGTGTGGTTACACTGGACTCTGTGTTCAGAAAGCCCTGTGGTTGGGGTTTAATGATCTGTGGCTACTCTCTTAAGATTTGTAATAGTGCCACCTTTGAATGTGTAGTTTGTAAGGGAAATCTGGTGGAAGAGTGGAGCATGTGCTGGGGGCTTGGCACCTCAACTTGATGCAGTGCCATCTCCTGTCACCTCCCTGCTTCTCAGCCTCTTGCCCTGTCTCCCTATTACCCAGTCTCTCCTAACCCCCAGGAAAGGAAAAAGCTTTACATGTGCCTCATTTGGCCCCTCAAATTATGTATCTGGTCCTGCCACCATTCCATGAAGTTAGGCAAGACTGTATGACTTTGGCCAATGAGATGTGAGCATAAGTTACGTCACACTTCCGAGCAGCTGTTAGAGCACGTGTGTAATTCTCCACATTCCCTCTCCTCTGCTGTGGCAATGGTGGAAGCATATATTGACATGTAGCCTTCATCAGCCTGGGTCCTTGAGTGACAACTATAATCAGAGTTCCTTGGACTACTTGTGTTGGAAGTGAAGTATGAGTGAGAATACTCTCCATGTGTTAAGCCAATGAGAAGTTTTGTTGTTACTGAAGCATATGCTAGCCCACACTGATTGCTGTAAGGAGTTACTGCTACATCACTGTTTATATTAGTGTGTTCAGATGTTCCTGTACATATGTCTGTATAGGGGATTTATAGGGCACTGGGGTCCCAGAAAGGAGCTCTGGTAGTGCAGTGGTTAAGGCATTTGGCAGCTAATCAGAAGGTCAACTGGTTCAAACCCACCAGCTACTCTGTGGAAGAAAGATGAGGCAGTCTGCTTTCATAAAGATTTACAACCTTAGAGACCTTATGGGACAGTTCTACTCTGTCCTATAGGGTTACTATGAGTTGGAATCAACTTGATGGCAGTGGGTGGGGGTCCCAGAAGTAACTGTAGACTGATAGCCTACAAGTCCTGCCATCCAGCTCTCATTTTGCTACTTGCTAGTCTTTGGCCTGGGAAAAGTCCTGGCTCTGGTTTTTGGCTCCCTTCTCTATACAATGGGTACACAGTCTCTGCCCTGCCTACCTCAGGGCTGTCATGAGGATACAGTGTGGTCAGGTAGGTGAAAGTGTTTCCTACATGGTGGGAATAGGCATAGTAGTGGGTATGGCTCACCTGGAGCTCAGTTCTAGTCTATCACAGAGATTGATAACCTTTGTGGCGTATTTGCTGCCAGGCCCTTGGTAAGGAAAGAAACTCTCAAGCATAACATTTCCCCAGAAAAAAAAATATTTTGGGATATGATTTCTATGGATGTACTGCAGCCAACATCCAGCAATGCCCACAGGCAGAAACAATTTGACAGTATAGAAACTGGAGCCATTCCTAGACACTGCCTTCACCTCTCTGAGCCTCAGTTTTCTTCATCTATAAAACAGAATGTTAAACATCTTCATATCTCACAGGCTGCTTTAAGCTCTCCATGAAATTATCAAATTAAAGTTTTATCTCAACAAATTCTGATTGAATCCACAGGCACCTGTGCCATTCTTGCTGGGCATTTGCTGTCCTTTGTGGTCTTGCTTAGTAAAGGCCATGCCTGCTTATCACAGAGCTGGCCAGTCAAATGGCTTCTGTCATGTGAAGGACACCATCCTAGGGAGAAGCAGAGCAGCAAATGGAAGGAGCCTTGTTCCCCATGTGACCATATGGAGCAAAGCTGCCCTGCCAACCAGCATCATCCACCTCTGGACTGTTACAGGAGGGAGAAATGAATTTCCACTATGTTTGAGCCAGAGTATTTTGAGGTCTTCTTATTAGAGGAACTTTGTTGTTGTTGTTATGTGCCATTGAGTCAGACCTGACTCATAGCGACCCCTCCTTGGGTTTCCGAGGCAGTAACACTACGGAAGTAGATTGCCCCATCTTCCTTCCAAGGAGTGGCTGGTGGGTTTGAACCACCACCCTTCTGGTTAGCAGTCAAGTGCCTTAGGCACTGTGCTACCAGAGCTCCCTAGAGGAACTTAGCCTGTACTATAACTAATCCAGGCCTTAAACCCTTGGCAAGCTCAGAGTTTCCTAACCAGAAGCACCTGTAAGCTGATAAATGTGTGGGAGACTTCAGCTCAGAAGACATGGGGCCCCCTCCAGGCTCAAATACTTACTGTATGACTCTAAGTAACTCACTTAGCTCCTCTAGGCACCCCAAGATCCTGCCCCCACCTCATAAACTTGCCTTTGATAATATGAGGTTTGCAAATGCCTGGCAAATGGTTGATTGCTAGGGGGTTTTATTAAGGATGACTCTTAGTATGCTTGTAACCTACAAAAACCTTTGCCACCTGTCTGGAGATTTTAGGTGGTTGGAGCTGGAAAGCTTCAGGAATGTCTTCTGACCCCTATTATTTTTAAAATCAACATGAGTAAATTTGACTTTTTTGGGGGAGAGGTTTCCAGTTCTATGAATTTTAACACATGTACAGATTCTTGTTCAACACCCATCTGTCAGTTTGTCATACTGTGATGGCTTACATGTTGCTGTGATGCTGGAAACTATGTCACCTGTATGTCAAATACCAGCAGGGTCTCCCATGGGGGGCGGGTTTCAGCAGAGCTTTCAGAATAAGACAGACTAGGAAGAAAGGCCAGGTGATCGACTTCCAAAAATTAGCTAATGGAAACCTTATGGTTATGGATCACAACTGAAAAATGTCCAATTTTTTTGCTTTGCACACATCACAGGAGGGATCAATCGATGGAGGAAGGTGGTGAAGTAGAAGACAAGCAAGGGTAAGGGAGAACCTTGGTGAGATGGACTGGCCACGGTGAGGGATTGAGCACACCAGTGACTGGGAGGATAATATAGCACTGGGCAGCTTTTCATTCTGTTATACGTGGGGTCGCCATGAGTTGGAGTCTACTTGGCAGCAGCTAATAACACACAATAGATTCTTGGAACCCTGCCATGAGAGTACACAAAACAGTAGTTCCTTATTGGCAGGTGCAGCCTCCTGGGATCTGGCACTTGTCAGCAGCAGAGGTGGAGGGTTCAGCCGGGGGGCTCAAGCTTGGGTAGCCTGCTCTGCTCAGAAAAGCCTCCTGCTCATTGGTCCTGGGCGGACCTGGGGCCCTTCCCAAAAGGCCTGCCCCATTCTGACCAGACCAGGTACGGGTGGCTTCTCTTTTATGGCCACTGGCCTTAGGCTCTTTTATTCCATTTCCAGAAGAACCATGTGGAAAGGACTTTGGGCCTGTGTCTCCCTCAAGGGCCTGTAGTGGCTCCCTGCTGTCTCCTGTATCCCTCCATCCCTCTTAGCTGCTGAGTACCTGAGGCCAGGCCCAAGCTCCTCCTTTCTCCCTGTTGCCTCTGCCCAGGAATGCCCATTCCCCAGAGTTCCTACCACTACCAGTGACACCAGTGTGTGCCAAGCCCCAAACTCCACAGGTAGCTCTAGGGCCTTCTCTCCCCTATGGTCCCATCTTCTCTCATGGCTCTGGACCAAGTCCCCTTGCCTTCCATTCCTGCATCAGCATCTTTTTCACTGGTCCCTTGCCTCCATCCCAACCCTGCATGGCAGCTTTATCCTGTTGGAAACTTTTCATGGCTCCTCACTACCATGGGACTTTAGTTCCAGGTCCCCATCCTGCCATTAGGGCCCCTGTGGTCTTCCCATCACCACTCCGAACAGACCAGCCTCCTTTCCCATGGCCCTGCTGAGTGCACCTACCCTCCTGTTGATGTGGACCACTCTGTGTGAGGCTCTTGTAGCAATTTACTTCACCTCCATTTACCTTGATTCCATTCACATTGCACTGCAATTACAGGCCAATGGATCTTTCTCTCTTATGAGATTTTAAGCTAGGTGGGACAGGCATCATGTCTTACTCCTTGCTGTGACTCCAGGAGGCCAGCATCTATTATGTGTTCAGGACAGGAGGGCTCCAGGTATTGCATAAATGGAGCCTGTTCTGGCCCCACATTTTTACTCTTGCTGTGACCTCAACTTCCCTCCTCTTTGCCCACCTAAATCCTATCTTTCTTCTAGAGCTAGTTCAAGGTCAGCTTCCACCAGGAATCCCACAGTAATCACTCCTTCTTTAGAACTGCCTTAGCCTCTGTTGGTCTTCAACACTTCCTGGGGGCTGTGGAGGCTGTGTGTCCTTAAGGTTGGGCACAGTCACTCAAGCTGGGAGCAGGAGGCACATTGGTGGGAGAAAGGGATACTGCTAGAAAGGAGGAGATCCTGGGACTCCAAGGAAGCGATTCAGGGCTGGGCAGGACAGTGGGTGTCTCTGCTCTAAAAGCAGGAGAAACAGCAGCAGGTATAGGCTGATCCAGCAACTGCTAGCTTTAACATGGACTCTGGCTTCAGGAACACAGGGGCAGTCAGCAAATCTGGGAGGAGTTCAAGGAAGGGTGTGAGCCAGTCTGTGCAGTGGGAGATGCTGGGCTCAGTCTAGTTTTGGTTGGAGTCAGAACCCCCAGGGTTCTGATGATCATGGCGAGTGGCCCAAGCCTTATAAACATGGCAGTGGTGGTGGTCAGGCTGACCATGGAAGTTTGTATGGCAGTCAAGCTGACTGTAGGGGGTTGGATGGCAGTCAGGCTGATGGAGAAGGCTAGCTGGATGACCGTCAGTCTGGCTGGTGCTGCTTTGATAGTGGTCAGGCTGGTGAGGTAACTGCTGGTGCAATGAATGTCCTCAGCAGGAAATGAGGAGGGAATTGGTGAGGGCAGGTGCAGTGGAGGCTGGAGCAGAGGGCTGTCTCTGCAAGAGCTTGCAGCTGGCCAGGGCTTGGTGCAGGGCATTCAGGGTGGCCAAAGGCCCATCTCTCCCATCTGGAAGGAAAGAGCAAGGAAGCAGTTCTGTTCACCTGGCCCACAGAGCCACTCTCCCTCCTTCCTGGGGCCCCACCCTCACCACAGCACCCACTGTTACGCCCTCTGCCCCTCCCAGATCTGAAGCCTCTTTCTCTACCTAACTCTCTTGTCCCTTTCCCATTGAGCACTCTGGGGAGGGGAGCATACAGCATATAATTCTTTTTTCTATTTTTACTTGAGTGTAGGAAATTTCTTCTTTTTTAATGCATTTTATTGAAATATAATTTATGTACAGTGAAATACACAAAACCAAAGTGACATGGGTTAGTGCTTTTTTTTTTTTT